TGTACTGACCATCAGGGGCAGAAGTTCAAAGCAGGATCTGTTCCTTGGTGGTCAGTGTACTCCCTCAGGGGAGTACTGCTCAGCCAGAAGCTGGGCCCGTGGCGGGCAAGTGCAGCGTTGGTGGTGGGAGCCTCTCCTGCTTCCACAGGCCTGCTCCCCTTGGAGTAAAAGTGTGTCATTGTGTTAGATAACCTCCCGAGGGGTCCTGGACTGCAAGAGGGCTTAGGCCAGGCTGAAGGATCCCCTTCCCCCATACCGACCTACACCCTCTCCAATGTGGGATCGGGCCTAAATGGGCAGTCGGACATCCCCTCACAATTAGGGACTGCTGGCTCCTAACCACTCACCTGCCTGCCTGCCTGATTGCCCCTAACCGCTTCTGCCTGCCACACTGATTACCCCCAAACCACTCCCCTGCCAGTCTGATTGACGCCTAACTGCTCCCCTGTCAGCCTGATTGCCCCCAACTGCCCTCCCCTGAAAACCCAATCGCCCCCAACTTCCCTCCCTCACTGCTGGCCTATTTGCTTCCAACTACTCCTCCTGCCGGCCTGGTTGCCCCACACAGCCTGCTGTTCAGTCGTTTGGTCTGGTCGTCCATCACTAACCCCCCTGCTGGGCTTGTTACCCCATGCAGCCTGCTGTTCAGTCATTACTGTTACTGTGATGGCATCCTGGACAATTTGCATACTCCTCTATTATTAATATAAATAATAGATAACATTCGTTGAGTGCTAATTTTGTGCCACCCATGTTGCAAATATTTGACATGTGTTGACTTTTAATCCTCTCAGCAACTTTAGGTTACAATTATACTACACTACTATTATCCCCATTTTACAAATGAAAAAACTGAAGCACAGAAATATTAACTAACTTGCCAAAAGTTTTATATCCAATAACTAATGGATCTGAGCTCAGTGTGGTTCCAGAATCCATGGTTTTAACAAACCTTTTATAGTGTCACTGTTCAAGTTTTGGTTTCCAATACAAAGTAATTTTTTTAAAGAAACTGACTTAAAAATTTATAAATTTACTAAGTTAAAATTTAAAAGTCCTATACCATAAAAGACATAATAAAGTGAAAATACAATTTACAGACTAGAAAAGATAAGAGCAAAACATTTAATCAACACAACAGTAATTTATATCAATAGATTATGCAATTAATTCCTATAAATCCATAAAAAGACAAAAGATACAAAAAAATGCGCAGAGACCAAGAAAATAAGCAATTTATAAAAAAATCCCAACACAGAAAAGGATGTTTACCTCACTAATAATTACAGGGTGAAAATTTTTAATTTTACTTATCAAACTGGGGAACATTATAAACTTAATAACAGCATGTGTTGATGAAGATATGGAGCCATGGCTGAGACTGGTCTGGCTCAGTGGATAGAGCGTAGGCCTGCGGACTGAAGAGTCCTGGGTTCGATTCCAGTCAAGGGCATGTACCTTGGTTGCGGGCACATCCCCGATGGGGTGTGTGCAGGAGGCAGCTGTTCGATGATTCTCTATCATTGATGATTCTGACTCTCTTTCCCTCTCTCTTCCTCTCTGTAAAAAAATAAATAAAATATGTTTTTTAAAAAAAGATATGGAGCAATGAGAACTCTCACACTCTGTTATAAATTGACATTCTATTTAGGAGAGCAATAATCCCTAGTACTGTTGAGAACACACATACTCAACATTCCAAAAATTACAATCTTATTCCCTAAAGAATATTCCATAGAGAATTAATATACATGAGAAAAAAATGTATAAGAATGTTCAAAGCAGCATTTTTTCTAATATGCAAAAAAATGTAAACTGTTTTAATTTCTATCAATAGTAAAACATGTAAGTAAATGGTGGACTATTCATATAATGAAATAGTATAAAGATATTAAAACACAAACAAAAGTAAAATGGAACAAGGAAGAATCCTATATATAATAAAGAGGTAATATGTAAATTGACCCTCACACACTCACATAAGATGGCCACCCTCACATATGGTCAAAGATAGCCGCCACAAGATGGTCTGCAGGGGAGGGCAGTTGCAGGGGACAAGGCTGGAAGGGAGGGCAGTTAGGGGAAACCAGGCTGTCAGGGAGGGCAGTTAGGGGTGACTGGGCCAGCAGGGGAGGGCAGTTGGGGGTGATGAGGACAGCAGGGGAGAAGTTAGGCGTCGATCAGGCTGGCAGGAGAGAGGTTAGTGGGTGATCAGGCTGGCAGGCAGAAGAGGTTAGGGGCAATCAGGCAGGCCAGCGGTTGAGAGCCAGCAGTCCTGAGCCAGCAGTCCCAGATTGTGAGAAAGATGTCCAACTGCCCATTTAGGGATCGGGCCTAACCTGACAGCTGGACATCCCCCGAGGGGTCCCAGATTGGAGAGTGTGCAAGGCTGGGCTGAGAGATACCCCCCTCTGTGCATAAACTTCGTGCACTGGGCCTTCAGTATATGATGAAAAGGCATGTTTTAGAAACCAATGTTATTCATACAAAGTTTAGAAATATACAAAGAAAAACTATATATTGGTCAGCAATATGTATACATGTTTTAAAAAGTATAAAACATGCATGTGTATGATACATGCCAAATTAAGGATCATTATTTCTGGGGTGGAAAGAGTAGAGAGTAGATTAAGGAAGAGATATGTAAGAGGCTGCAGCTGTATCTATAATATTTTACTTAAAAATATTTCCTAATGTATATAGTAAATTAAGAGTTTACGAATTTGTATGATAGCATGTAGTGTGATTCACTATATTTTTTCATACTTTGCTGTATACTCAGTACTTTCAGATTTTTAAAGAAATATTATTAAAAACTAAAAGTGAAACATTAATGATTATTAAAGTTTCATGATTTGTAGGGCTGAGTAAAATTAATAATCTGTACATTATTGAAGCAGACTATAAGCTTAATTAATATCTCTTTTCATGAGAAATTTCAAAGGTACTGGTAGACCAATTTTTCTTGCTATTATAAATTACTTGGGATAATCATATACAGGCAGTCCTCGGGTTACACTGGAGTTCTAGTTCTATGGTGCAAGGTAACTCGATTTTCGCCTTAAGTCGGAACCCACCTACATAAGCACCTACGTCACTCACATGGAGCACATACACAGCAGTAATGAAGTGAAACAGAAAAAAAAAAATGTAAAAGAAAGATAATTCCTGACTTTTACTTGTGGAAAATAAATAATAAAAAACATAAAGAACAATATGCACAAGGGTTTAAATGAAGAAACTTTTTTTTTTAATAAATAAATGGGAGTTGGCTATGTAACCACAAAAAGACATAAGTCAAGTCCAACGTAACCTGAGGACTACCTGTAATCAGATGTAGAGGTAATATATTATTTTGTTTCTATAATGCCCAACAACTATAGGAGATGAGAGGTCCTAAATATAACTGTTTACTTATCCAAGAATAGACCTGGAATTTTAGCAGAAGGTCAGGGATACAGCCAGGGACCAAGCCCTCATGCCTTTAATATTAGACTTTGCCATCACAACAAAATAACCCAAAATATTTTGTAGCAATAATTCTATCTTAATGTCCTAAGGCTAAGAAAATAAATAAATAAATAATGCAAAGGAAATACCATAATGTGAATATGCAGAAAGTTAGAACAATTAGCCTATTGATCATTTATCATTACTTAAGTAAGCACTTAGGCCGTGGGTGGAGGTTTGACCTGGGACCCTGAGGTTGAATGTTTGGCAGATGAACTTCAAATACAGTCTGTTTACCCATGGACATAAGTGGCCTTAATCAAAGCAGAACACTTTTTTTTTTTTAAATGTTCATTTAAAAAACGTAAGAGTACATATAAATAAGACTGTGATTTATGAATCTACTAATGCTGTTCTCTTCTGTAGACTTTAGAAAGGTTTTGAGCCTTTGGCTGCAGTAAATACAGCAGTGCAGACTTGTTAAAGCAGTAATAGGTACCCTTATTAAAAATTCTACTTTCATTAAGAGTTACAAATTATCTTCCTTCTTTCCAGTCTGTAAAGAATGCGTTCCAGAAGCAGTGACACAGAGGGCTCAGCCCTGAAGCAATTTCCAAGACACAGTAAAGACCACAGTTTCCAAGCGCCTGAAGACATGACGCAGAAACAGCAAGACAAAGACACCACCAGTGAGTCCAATGCAATCCTTCTACATCCTACATCACACAGTGGTAATGGCCACCAAGGAAAAGACCTTTCAAGAGATGACCTATTATTTCTTCTAAGCATTCTGGAAGGAGAACTGCAGGTCAGCTGATTTCGAATTAAACCCCTCATGCTTCAAAGGGAAGGCTGCTTGTGAATTTGGTGTGCATATATAAACATGTATATCTATGGTCAATACTTGTCTGTACATGAGAGGAAGTGTAAGTACACATACACACAGTTCTCCTCTGCCAACTTGAAGGGCAATTAATCACATCTAAAAGGGATGTTGTATGGCATCGAATGGCATGCACGTTATGAAAGGTCATATCCTCTGTCCATGCTGCTCATAAGCTTCGGTACACAGGCACGTATAGATACCAACGATGCCAGCTGACTTCTGGATTAGTTTAAATAACAATAAATGTTTTTGTACCTGATGTGAACTGGCTCTTAGACTTGCCCTGGCATCATTAACCTACATAAAAAACTAAAACAGCTGCTACACATATAGGAGACTGTTATTTCCTAACTCTGAAAATGTACTAATAAATGCCAGTCCATTGAGGGGTATCATATTATCTGCTTGTCAAACACAATAAAAAATGTAGGTTTTCTAAAGTTGTATAGTGATTACTTTTTAAAACATTATTAATATGTAATTAGATTGTAAGAAGAATGAAGGGACATAGTTTTGCTACTTTTTCTAAAAGGTACTATAACTAAATATAATTTGATTATATTTGAAAGTGAAATAAAAAATACTCAACTCTAATAAGAAATCACTTTTGGAGACTGCTGGTAGATAAAGTGGCTTTCTGAAATGCCTTTTGTTGCTTCAGGCTCGAGATGAAGTCATAAGCATTTTAAAGGCTGAAAAAATGGACTTGGCTTTGCTGGAAGCTCAGTATGGGTTTGTCACTCCAAAAAAGGTGTTAGAGGCTCTTCAGCGAGATGCTTTTCAAGCCAAATCTGCCCCTTGGCAGGATGACATCTATGAGAGACCAATGTCTGAGGTATGTGCCATATCAGGGGTGTGCACCTGGGAGGTAGAAGTAGTTCACAAGCTAGCTAAGCACTAGGCCTGGCAGTTGAACATGACACACAACTCCTTTTTGATTAAAGTTTAGCATTCTAAGACATTTAAAAATCTATCAAAAATAGATAAATACTACATGTTCTACAGGAAAGTAAAAGAGAATAAATCATGGCTAAGCTGTTTTCATTTGTTTTTCTCCTCCTCCTCCTCCTCCTCCTCCTTTTTTTTTTTACTGGAAGTAGAACTCTTAATTGTTGACTTTTAAAGGACATATTTATTTACTTATTTATTTTGTTATGGACATTGATTTCTTATTTTATTTAATTTAGGTTTGCTTCTTGACACCAAACTGAAACCTAACAAATGCAAGAGAATTTCTGTTTCTTCTCACTTTCTCTCTCTCTTTCTTTACACACACACATACACACACACACTCACACACGCACGCACGCACACACGCACACGTGGGTCTGTCTGAACTTCTTTTGGGGGACTTGAATGCTATTTAGGTTACAATAAAAAAGAAAAAAAAAAACACGATTAAGTATGCTCTTGCTAGTGTGGCACAGTTGGTTGGAGCATTGCCCATACATCAAAAGGTCAAGGGTTTGATTCACTGCTAAGATAGATACCCAGGTTGAGGGTTCCATCCCTGGTCAGGTTGCAGTTCCATACCTGGGTACGTGCAGAAAGCAACTGATCGATGTTTCACCCTCAAATCCCCACTCTCCCCACTTCTCTCTAAAGTAAAAAACAGCAAAAAAAAAGTCCTCAGGTATTAAAAAAACAAATGAAGTTCAACCACAGAGATTAATTTCTTTGAAAACACTAAGGCATTATGTCATAGAAATTTTGAACATGAATAGTAATGATCTAAAGATCTGCCCAAGAAACAGTTTAGAAAAAACAAATATTTTAGATTAGTGCATATTCTCCTTTTCATTCGAAAGTTTAATGGCAGCAGAGATCTCTCACCAGCAATGACAACAGCAAAGATGAGCAGTACCATCAGGGCCACCACTGCACAAAGATGTGGACTGCTTTCTCTTTTACTTTGCTGACATTTCTGAAACTCTTTGACATCCTTACTTTATTCTTCTGTTTTCCTTTGAAACCTCAATGGAAATTTTCATAATTTTTCATTTTTATAAAAAGGAAACAACTAAGAGCATGAGTTAAGGCTGGAGAGAGTGAAAATAAGTTTTGGACAAATTTCCCTCACATACACTCTGGCAACCTACCTCAGGACTGACCTCCAATGTCCTTGCTATTCTCGTCTTGGGTGTCTCATGAGAGATTAGCGTCTTGCCAAATTGTGAAGGAGTTTGGTCATATGAATCTGCTTTTCTAAGGGGTGAGGATGAGACCACCCAAAGTCTGTTAACTTAATCCGAATTTTAAACAAGAGGAGCTAAAGCTGCAAGTCAGTAGTGCTAAAATTGTATCTAGGATCCCAACACAATGACTGGGAAGTAGCATGAGATACAAATTCCCCAACCCATATGAGCACAAATGCTAATTAAAAATATAGTACATATCCTGACAAAACTCCACAAATGACACAACTGCTCAACACTTCAGTGTAAAATGAAACAACATGTTTTCAAACTTATGCTGAAATCTGTAGGACAAAGTTTTGTTACAAAAGAATTCCACTGCACACATGCAAAACTGGAAACACCCTGACCCTCTCTACAAATGCTTGTCCCTGAAAGTTATCTATAAGTTAGCACCGCTTCACAAATTCAACCTTCTTTGATTACTCTCCCAACAAGTACCCCTTCACTCACATACACACATACACACATAAACTTCTCACATTCCCACCTCCAACATCTGCCCACTTTCTTCTCTTGCCTTCTAGTTTCCCCTTATATATTTGTCTCTCCTCAGCTATCAGTCTTTCCTGGAGGTCCTCATAACTCTACCTACACAACAACCCAGTTGTCTACCCTCTTCCTATATCTATTGGAAGTAACAGGTGAAAGGAAGATATCCAGAGAATAAACAGTAAAGGGGAATTCTAACAAGAGCTCCCTAGATAGAGCGGAAGAAAAGAGAGGACAGCATTCCTACTAAGACCGTCTGTGACTGTACCCTAGTTACATCAGAATAAGGATGTGCATGCTAAGAAAATAATCTGCTTCCTCCCATTGCAGTGTATAAACTTCCTCCCACCTTTTATTTTTTTCACAATGATCTTTTTGAAAAATGAAAAAATCTAAACCATGTCTAGGATAAACTAAAAAGAATTTATATATTCTTAAGGGAAGATAACTTAGAAGATCAAACTGCTCTCAGTTACATCATGTGACAGAAACACTGACTTAAGCTAAAAACCTGGTTGGGGCCTGGGAGCTGAAATAAAGAATAAGGATGGGGAGAGGGAGTAGCTGGGTTGTCAAGAGGGAGGAAGAAGAGAGAACTCATAGTCCATAACAGTTTTAGCCTCATATTGCTTTCAAAGCTAGTGTTCCATAGGAGAAGTTACCTTAAAAAAAAAAAAAAAAAAAATACTTGATTTAGTGGCCTAACATATTAGTTCTTCCATAAAAGATATGAAGAAAAATATAAGAATACTAGAGGCCTGAAGCACGAAATTTGTACAAGGGGCTTAGACCTCGCAGCCCCAGCTTCGCCTGGAAGGTAGTCCGGAAGGTCATTTGCCTGTCCAGTCTAATTAGCATATTATACTTTTATTATTATAGGCTAGGGGCCCAGTGCATGAAATTTGTGCATGGGGGTGGGGGAGGGGGTGGGGAGGAACTGCCTCTGCCTGCCTGATCACCCATGCCAGTCTGATCTCGCCCCCAACTGCTCTCCCCTGCTGGCCTGATTTCCTACCCAACTGCCCTCCCCTGCCGGCTTAGTTGTCCCTAACCCATTGTTGGCCTAATCCTGCCCCCAACTTCCCTCCCCAACTTCCCGCCCCTAACTGCCTCTGCCTCGGCCCCACCACCATGGCTTTGTCTGGAAGGAAGTTGGATGTCCAGTTGACCTGGTCTAATTAGCATATTAACCTTTTAGTAGTATAGATAGATTATATAGGATAGGATTGCTTAAATGTGGGAGGGGGGGGCTATTTCAGCTGGAGGAGATGCTGGTAGGTGACAAAAACACATAATCCCTATATCTGGACTGATAGCCGCCATATGCACTATATTACCAAACCAGTCATGCAAAAATTTAATAGCTTTCTTACATCTTCCATCAAACAGATGTTGCCCTTTAAAACCCCTTCTCAGCCCCCACCTTAGGTTCTGCCTTCACAGTTCACCCAGGTTAAGTTCTGATTGGTCGATTTCCATGCTGGTCAGTGTCAAAAGCTCTGCCTCCTAGGCAGCCATTGGCTCTTGGCACTTCTCAGATTTTGTTCTGACTGGTTGGTTTCTATGCTAGTCAGCGACAAAAGCTCTGCCTCCTAAGCAACCATTGGCTCTTGCACTTCACCCAGATTTGGTTCTGATTGGTCAGTTTCTATGCCAGTTAGCATCTCCAGGCCTATCTCTGGGCCTGATCAAAGAGGTGGGGCTGATCAGTAGCCTCCAAGGAGGCTTGGCTGCTGGCAAAGCTAGGAGAGAAACAGAGAGGCAACAGCTGGTCAACGGCTGCCCCGGAGGATAGGGATCAGACCCTGGCTCTCTCTCTGCAGTCCTCTCTCTGGGCCGGATCCACAGCCTCCTCAGCAGTCAGGTGAGCCAGTCATTTATCTAAATAGATAGATAGATAGATAGATAGATAGATAAAATAATCTGCATATCTTATCAGCATATCTTATCAGCATTACCTTAGGGCAATCTATAGAATACTTATTTTAAGCAACATATAATTAGATTTTAAATTTTATTGTATTAACTTATTTAATATTGATGTATAAATATAGTTGTGGTTCTTGTAATTAGGGTGTTTATTGTCTAACAGAGTGATAAAAAAAAAAAAACATGATCACACAAGTGTACAGTTACACATATACTAATTTCTGTGTTTAAAACCACAAGGCACTATGATAGAGTACAATGGGGGGTCAAATTTAAATAGGAGAATGGGGAAAGATAAGATCCAGAGAATGAGTATGCATTGGTCAGAACAAAAAGGAATTCCATTTCCAGCGACACTGTGGACACATATTGAGTGAAATTACATTTCTAAAAAAACATAAAAACAGTAGCGTATTTTCCGGCGTATAAGACGACCCCCTAATTTTACAGTTAAAACATAAGTTTAGGCCTATATTCGCTGTATAAGATTACCCCCCACTTCAAAGAAAAGACTTACTTTGCCTTCAAGATCTGCAGGTAATTTTTGTGCAATTTTGGTCTTTTGCCCCCGATTTTCGGTTGACTTTTTTTCGTTTCAAAAGTCATCTTATACGCCGGAAAATACGGTAGATAAACTATCTAATACACTCTTCGATGCATGGATGATTTACATGGAAGCAAGAGAAATTCTGAAGCTAGGAACTGAAAGGGAAATTTATGTAGATTAGTTTCTGGTTCCAAATTATTTGAACCTTTCTCCTCTCAATCCATAAACTTCCACTGATGAGAACCACCAAGGACAGATTCATTTTGGAATATAACCTCTGGCCTTTCCCCTTTATTTGACAATGGCCGGGTGAGCTGGCACAGTGGCATTTCTGAAGCTTTTCGTACATCAAGATGGTTAGCAATAACTTGCCTATTTATGGAAGTGATTGTGAAACCAACTGAACTTCCCTTTAGCAGGACCCCAGAAATGTGCATAGACTCTTCAAAACTACCTGCCATGAAAGTAAATATGATGGTAGGTAAGTAAAAATGGGCTAAAGACAGTGGTCTTAACTGATTATAATTAAAATGTATTATTTTAAAAATTTACTAAATATATGACTTAGGTGAACACATTGCTTGGGCACTGGCAGGGCCTTGGAAAGATGCCCATGAAAGTGAAGGGCCCTAAAACTTAAGCTTCATGGTAAACCTTCCTCCTCCTCTCTCTCTGAAAGCATGTGTGCACACTTTTAGAAAGAACATTTGACCATGTTTGTGGGCACACTTTGAAGGGACAGAGTGGGATCAAAGATATAAGAAATAAATTTATGGACAAAACAAAGGCTGGAAGGAGACAAAAAGGAATGGTGCAAAGTTCATACAGGTGAGGTGGTTAAGAATGTAGAAAACCAGTTTTCTTAGTGGTTAGAGCATTGGCCTGTGGATAGAAGGATTGCAGGTTTGATGTCCAGTCCCAGTCCGGGTGTATGCATGAGGCAATCAATCGATGTGTGTGTGTGTATGTGTGTGTGTGTGTGTGTGTGTATGTCCCTCCTCTCCTCCCACTCTTCCATTCTCTAAAAAAATCAATGGACAAAATATCACCAGAGAGGATTAAAAAAAAAAAGAATGTAAAAGAATATAGGTAAGTTAAGAGAGCAGAAATATAAGAAAAGCTCCATTTATGCTTAATGGATTCTACTCAGTCAATAAATATCTTTTTATTGCCTTCAGAGAGGAAGGAAGAGGGAGAGAGAGATAGAAACATAAATGAGAGAGAATCATTGATTGGCTTCCTCCTGCATGCCCCCTACTGGGGATCAAGCCTGGTACCCAGGCATGTGCTCTTGACCAGAAATGAACCTGGGATCCTTCAGTCAGCAGGCTGACGCTCTATCCACTAAGCCAAACTGGCCAGTGCAGGTTTAGTGTTTAGAGAGAATAGCATGGGCCTCAAATAGGGGCCTTGAGGAAAAAGGACGCCATTGACCAGGTATAGGTAAAGAGCCACATGGAATGTCCAGCAAAATATGAAAATCACCCAGAATGCTACCAAGATTTAAGGTAGAAGATAGATTATAGGAGGAGGGGCCTGAAGCTCAGTAAAAGAATAAAACAAGAACGAGAAAAGACTACCACCATTAAGGGTGATGATGAGAACAAGAAATCACTTTCAGAAGGGTCTGGCAGTGGTGGTGGAGAGCCAGGAGAATCATGGGGCCATTTCCTGAATCTGAGATGTGGAGGCAACGAGAGAATGAGCAGTCTCTATAAAAACAGAGATTCCAGTGTTACCCAGGAAAAGCAGGTTTCAATAGACACAAGGAAGAAGAAGGGATATTTATGAATAGTATGTATGGTTACCTTTGATCTACTAAAATGGCCAATTTCTTTGCTTTATGGATTAGCTTCATTGAAAAGGACAATCTTCAAACAGGTGATGGAAAAGAACAAACAGAACCAAACCATAGCACAGAAAGAGATGAAACTAAAATCAGGGTGGTCATTATTAATTTTTAAACATATATTATGCAACTTAAAGCCAAAAAATGGAAAACATCTCTGTTCTTCATTCCTTCTGACCACGAAGAAACATCAGAAATCTAACCTAATGAAATACACTGTACTTCCTTCATCCTAGGCAAGAAGTTGAATTGTACTAGGGGTTTGGGAATAGGACATGACATCAGACAAGTTAAAATGATAAGCAGGAAGCTTGTCACTGAACCATAAACATTAGGAGCCATCTTTTCAGGCTTTTAGCCCCGACACTTCCTGAAATGACTGACCAGTCTTCCTGTTTTCTTTCCCAGGCTTCAAACTGTAAGTGGGAACAGATGAAAAGGGGGCAGTGGTCTGATAGTTCCTTAGTACTTAATGATACACCGCCGTATGCTGCTCCTAATTGTTGCATGCATGTGTATCTTATTTCCTAATGAAAGTATAAGCACTGAGCCTTCAAATTTCTCTTGCATTCCCCATGGCAACTATCATAGTACTAAGCCCACAGAACAGGCAATTAATAAATACTTATTGCCTTATGAAGCTAGAAATAACCTTAAAAATCAAGTCTAAGCACTTAATTTATAAATGAGAAACCTGAAATACATAAGGTTAAGTGATGTGGTCAAGCTCTCACACTCGGGGGTGGGGAGAAATGAAATGAATTCAAGGAGGCTTGGGTCCATCATTCCATCTGTCAGGAATGAAGAAGAGACTGAACTGAGAATCACTGACATATTTACTAACAGGCATTTTGGGCATGGAAAATGAAGCACAAAATAAAACTTCAGGTATATGTAAGGTGACCAGACTGTTTTAGAATGCTGCGGAATGCGGGACAAATTGTTAAAAATCGGGACTGTCCCGCCAAAAGCGGGACGTCTGGTCACCTTAGGTATATGTTAAATCATCTCTAGAATCAGTAATTCTTTTCAGGGGAGCTTTCCCTTTGCCAGACCACTATTCCATAAGCTTTCCAATGATCACTGTTGAGAAAATGAGTTCCTCAGTGGTTGCATCAAACAGTATGCAGCAAGTTCAAGTCATCCTTCAAGAAACATGGAATGTGAGAGGATAAAAAAATCAGAGAATCAGCCCTTCCCAGTTTGGCTCAGTGGATAGAGCATTAGCCCTTGGACTGAAGGGTCTTATGTTTGATTCCAGTCAAGGGCATGTACCTTGGTTGAGGCTTGATCCCTGGTCCTGGTTGGGGCATGGGTGGGAGGCAACAAGTCAATGTGTCTCTCACATGGATGTTTCTCTCTCTGTCTCTCCCACTCCCATCCACTCTCTCTAAAAATCAATATAAAATATCCTTGGGTCAGGATTAAAAGAGAAAAAAGAACAACTCGGAGAATCAGGCAACTCACTGATATGTAGAAACAAACACTTCTACCCAGGAGTAATCAGAGAAAGCTACAAAGGAAGTACAGGAACAGTTTTACATAGAAGGGAAAAATATGTCCTAGGTCTCAGTACTGAAAAAAAAAAGCAGTCTTGAATCACCATGGTAAGTTCTAAGAAATTCCAGAAGTCCAGTGTGGCTAAAGGTTGGGTAAGAAAAATGGGAAGGTATGGAGTGAGAATGGGGAGGAAGTGTCAGGAGACCAGTGGTGAAAGACCTTTTGGCTCTGAATAGGAGAGCGGAGTGATCCCATTGGTGAAAAGATCATCTGTCACTGAAGAGGACAGGCTGGAAGAGGTGAGGCTGAAGGAATGGAGACCACTTAAGAGGACATGTAATAAATGGAGGGCAATGACTCTTCCCCTCCTTCCTTGTCCCTTCAAACAAACAAGTAAGCAAGCAAAAAAAACAACATAAAGAGAAAAAAATTACAATGGAAAACAACAGTGGATTAAATAAGTCTTCTATTTTCTCTCTTCGGATCAAATTAAGTTTAATACCCATATCCATATTATTTCAAGACATCTAAGGAAAGACATCCTTCTTGCATTTAAGAAGCTTTCCTTAATCGTTCATTTAGTCATTAATTCTAGGGCCAGTCTTATACAAATTAAAATATATGTTTTCTTAAGTCAACTAACAACTTTCCTAATGAAGGCTGATTCTTCATTATTTCACTGTCAAATTCCAAAAGCAGTTCATTTGAATTTCCTTTACAATTCACTCTAATGACTCAAGACCTAGGACAAACACTACAACCTTCCTCTCAGAAGATGGTCATTAGTTAACAGTGATTCTGCCAGCAGGCAACGCAACTTAGCAATTTCAACTTCCTCAAAAGGACTGGTTACATTTAACAAAAACCATCAACACCATATGGCATAATAAAGTATTTTGTGTGTGTAAAACACCATTATAAATCAATATTAGAAAACCAGCCTAAGAATTTATGTCTCAGAGAATTAATTAGGTCCTATATGCTGGGGTACCTTTGTTTTATCGATATTCTTATTCTGGAATGGCGTGGCTATTTTGTGCCTTGGATTCAATTTTTAAGGCTGTACAATTTATACTGGCTTTTAATTCAGAGTCACAAATTTTCAACCTTTTATAATAAAGGCAAAGGGTAAAATCAACCAATATTATCAGTTATAGCACCTAGTATTTAACAAATTAAAAAGTCACATGCTTTCAAAATTATGTTCTTAATTGGATCTCAATTTATCAAAAGATCCCGAGCCACATTTCAACCTCTTTCCCTCTTTTCTTTCTTGATTCCTTGCTTGCTTATTTTGTTTTCAATCTTTAAACATATACTAGGCACCTACTGTAGACAAGTCACTCGATAAGAGGCTAAGAAAAATAAAATGTAGGCCCTGCCTTCAGGGAGTTCACAGTCTAATAGGGAAGCCAACTATATAAATCAGATATTTATAACAGAAAAATAAGTAGGCCATGGAAACTAGAAGGAATTTGATGCTTATTATTTGGTCACATTCACACTACATACCAACACAGAATTGATTAACCAACGTTTAAATACTCAAACACCTTGATGCATAATTCAAAGAAAAACATCTCTAATAAATTTAATAAAAAGGAGAAAAAAACAAAGCAAACATGTACACACGCACGCACGCACACACGCACACACCACACCACACCACACCCACAAAGAAAAACAGATTAGGGGATCCAAGAGGCTTACACTGGTAGAGTACTATAGGAAGGGGTGGGCAGGAGAGATCAGCAGGGCAGCTGCAGAATCAAAGATTTGGCACATCGTCCCTAATAGTTCTGTGGAGAGAGAAGGAAGTGTCAGAAAGGGCATGTAGGGGAAATGTTCACATCTACAGAGGCACCAATTATTCTCTCTGCTGGGAAAATAATGACAGTAAGTAAGAAGATTACATTTGTGTTGAAAGGTATCAAAAAAAAAATCAATGAACAAGAGAAATGTTAAAAACTAAAGAAAGAAATCAGAACCCACTGCTGAATTAGACAAAAATTGGACATTTCTTGAAGTGTGAAAGATGGCAGCATTATAAGTGATTTGTAGTTAATAGACTATAAATTTATTTTCTTTTGCAGTTGGACAAAGTTGTGGCAAAACATAAAGAATATCACAGACGAATTTTGAAACAGCTTTTAATAGTAGAAAAATCTCATAGGCAAACCATATTGGAGTTAGAAGAAGAAAAGAGAAAACATAAAGAATACATGAAGAAGAGTGATGAATTCATCAGTTTACAAGAACAGGAAATCGAAAGGTAAGGCTACTTTGGACAAGACAATGAACCCTACTGCACTCTTTTTTTTAAAAAAGTGTATTTTATTGATTTTTTTTTTTTTAACAGAAAGTAAGGAGAGGGATAGAGTTAGAAACATTGATGAGAGAGAAACATCAATCAGCTATCTCTTGCACACTCCCTACTGGGGATGTGCCCGCACCAAGATACATGCCCTTGACCACAATCGAACCTGGGACCCTTCAGTCCACAGGCTGATGCTCTATCCACTGAGCCAAACCAGTTAGGGCCCAAACTGAACTCTTACTAGCATCTCACTAAAGGCTGGGTACTACCAGAGATACAGGGACACAAGGATGATGTGATACAGCCTCTGTTCTAAAAGATCTCATGGTTCAGAGTGATGAAAATGATGAGTTTAAAGACACTATCAGTACAATGCAAGAATAAGCAAGTATAATGAGGACTGTAGAAACATAAATATTAGGCACCTTATTCTGCAAGGGATTGCCCTGCAAAAGCTGTGCAGAGGAGGTTACAGGTTTAGTGCCTATACAAAGAATTAAAACTATATACAAGGCAGAGGCTGAAATAAGTGTTATACCACAAAGGTATGGAGCCCTGGCCAGATAGCTCAGTTGGTTAGAGCATTGTCCAGATACAGCAAGACTGTGAGTTTAAATTCTGGTCAGGGTACAGACAAAAAACCAATGTACACATAAATAAGTGGAGCAATAAATTGATGTTCCTCTCTCTCTCTCTCTCTCTCTCTCTCTCTCTTTCTCAAATCAATAAATTTAGACAAAGAAGAAAATCATATGGGTCCTGAGGAAATTCAAGCTTTCCACATAGCTACAGCACAGGATGTAATTGTAGGATGAGAAAAGGAAAAACTAGCCACAAATAACTGGATTTTATACTGTTGGCAAGGAGCAAATGACAAATTGTGAGAAGGGAAATTAATTGATCAGTAGGTATTCTTAAAGAATCATTAAGGTAATATGGAAGAAAGACAGGCGGAATGTATGTTTTCCAATGGTTATAGGGTTAGAGAGGATGGAGTGTAAACAAGAAATATTTATTTTTTAAAAAGAAGTATTTATGATGTATAGTTAATTTGAATTAGTGACTAATGAAACTGGAGAGCAGAATAAGGAAAACAGGGAGTTATTGAGAAGTACTAGCTATTCAGCAGGATATATAATACAGGAATGGGATACTACTTTTTGTTGCTGAAGGATTTTGGTAGGGGAGGATGGTTTAAAGGTGGGGATAGTAGGTAGGAGGTGAGTTCTGTCTTAGATATGCTGTGTGTGAAGTACCCAATGTATTCCAATGTTCAGTGGGGAGTACAATATGTCTAAAGACAACCCACAGTTAAAAGCGTATGTCTGGAAAAGGATGGACTAGTGATGCAAATTTGTAGTTGGTGATAGCGAAAGCTGTGAGTGTTGGTGTGGTGAGGAAAGGAAATTCTGAGAAAAGAACTTTAGAAAATATCAATATTTGGTGTTTTTTTTAGAGGAAGATAGGTCAAGAAAGGAAGCTAAGAAAGAATGGTGAGTGTTAGAAAAACCAGAAGAGAAAGAAACCAAACAAGGAAAACTTTTAAAAAAGAGTTAGCAGTTAAATTATAGCAAATAATACAGAAAAGAATGAGAAAATGTTCCAAAATTTGGCAACAAGAAAGACAGTGAGGAAGTTGGAGCCCCTTTAACAGAACAGTGAGGGCAGAAGCCAAATCACTGTTTTGAAGAATAAATAAGAAATGATAACTTAGAAACTTAAAATATGAACTATTTTGAGAAGCTTGGCTGCAAAAATGGAGAGATTGGTTGAATCAATATAGAAAGCATGAGCATCCATATTAAATGAAAGGATAACTGACCCTCAATTGATACTGCAAAGATAGAAAATAAACAATCATTGCAATGCCAAATTTTCACTGGATAATCATTTCACTTGTTATTCTGTGTATATTTCTTTAATGAGTTGTAGAGCTAATGATGCTGAATTCTAACAATTGCAGAAAAATGCAGGGCAAAAAAAAATTACTTGTGAGCTCCCTTTTCTGAAATACCAGTAGTCTTAACTGCTTTATTTAACTATTTTCAATTTATATTTTAACTAGATAAATGACTTATATAGTAGTTAGGTTAATGGCATACGTTCATGTCTTTTCAATGTACTTCATGGTACATCGATTGGGAACAACCTGCAATCTGGGTATTTAAACCAAGAGAAAGCAAAGAGGAACAACGAGAAATGAGAATAAAATATCAGTGTGAATAAAAGCCATGGGCTAAATAAAAATAAAAATAGTGAGATAAAAATAAATTGTACACCATGGAATCAATATATTCCAATATTAAGAATGGTATTTCTAACCAGTGTGGCTCAGTTGGTTGAGCATCATCCTGTGCACTGAAGGGTCACCAGTTCAGTTCCTGATCAGGGCACATACCCAGGTTGCAGGTTGTACCCAATTGATTCTTCTCTCACATTTATGTTTCTCTCTTCCTTTCTCTCTCCAAAATCAATAAAAACATGTGTGTGTGTGTGTGTGTGTGTGTGTGTGTGTGTGTGTGTGTGTGGTGTGTGTCTTATAGAACACAAAGTGACTGCATCTTGAAGAATAATGAAAGTAAACATACTATTACCAAAAATAGGGAAAAAAATGGCTGGAGTGATTCTCATTCTCTGTTTAGTCATTCATAAGATATGAGGATATTATGTTTCCCAAGCAACAGCTTCCAGATAGAACACTTTGGGCATGAGAATGTTAAACCTATTCTCAACTCATGATACATAGATAATTCTTCCTGTACTCCACCTGGCTAACATCATGATTCCCTTATCTTGGCACTTTTGGTCATTGGCCTTCCCTGCTTCTATGAAACTCATAAGGCATAACGCACTTGTACTTGCATTAAGGCCATGTGCATTAAAGTATTAAATAAACATCACCTAACAAAAGAGGAAGTTGTGTAAACTAATAATTTCACATAAGTATAGACAGGGAAGGTATTTATGCAATAGAGTGAAATACCACTCACAGGACAAATGACAAAACATGCATCATCATGGAGTCCCTCTAACTTTAGTAAGAGCACTTTTCTTCTCCAGCACAGAGCCACACCCTGAGGGGTCAAAGAATAACATTTACTTCCTTCCTCAAACAAAGTGATGTAAACCACTCCCGAATTGGTGACCCTCTGTACTGAGAAACAAAAAAAGATATCACCCCTATAAAAGAAGGTTGGGTGACAATAGCTATAAAGGACTCTCTAATGGAAGCTCTGAAAACACTGTGCAAGTTTAGCACTTATATTTTAAGTGTTAGGTAATATCTACTTGGAAATAAAATAAGAAATAAGAAATACATGATTGAGATAGTTCATTTGAAACCTTAGATTTCAAAGTAAAGCTCAATTTGTGTTTTCTTTGGAGAATTCCTTTTATGTGGAAAACCCTAAAGGAGACTGATGTCACACATTGACTTGAGGCCAAAATGTTTGCCAAGTGATGTCTTCATTGTAATCAGTAAACAATTGGCTTTCCCACTGAGGGACTAAGAGACAGGGATCAGCTCAGGAAACCCTGCTCCCAAGCATGTTAATGCAATGTTTCCTTTGCTGTAATGTGTGTGGTTTGGTCTGTCCATAAGATAAAATATCCCCATTTCATGACAATTTTCTGTTCACCAGCTCTGATATGTGGATATGTGTGTCACCAATGCAATGACCTGAATTATGTATTTGTCTGAGTTACAAGTGAAGTCTATGTGAAAGGTTTGTACAAAAGCAATGCCAGTAATTTTTGGCCTTTCTGGATGGCTTCACAGGAAAGCCAAAACAAAAATCACTTTTAGTCAGTGCAATTCTGCAAAATTTTCCCATAAGTGAAATGCCAAATTTGTCTGTACTTTCATAAAGTTTGCATAATTTTTTTTTCCTTTTTCAGCTCAATGAGGTAAAAGGCTATGAAGACACACACAAAGAGTTTTCCTTTTTTTTTTTTTGAAACCTCTCATTCTTTTAAAAAGTATAAAAACAAACCATGTATACTAACCATATATATTACTGCATTTTGGCCTTGAAATAAACACTAAAGTGAAAAACAAGTATTGTTATGGCAACTCTGGGTAAAAATGTGGCTTCAAACATAGATTTTTTTAAAGCCTTAAATTACTTTTCATAATATCTTGGCCAACTAGGTTAGCACTGATAGTCCTATTCCACAAAGCAGGAGTTCAAATGGTATATTTTCAAAAGCCACATAATGAGGAAGGAGGCACAGGCAGAATTAACTTCTTGTTCCTCTCTTGCTTAGGAGTGCCTACAGGGAGCACTGGCTCAGGGGGCAGAGGAGTCTCTGAAGGAAGTCACCAGGGACTCAACTTCAAGGGTTGTTGGATTGACCACACCTTGGGTTAAGTCCTATGCTATTCAAATTTCAGTAAAGAACAAAGCACTTTTACCTCTCCCCTTGGCTGAAACACTTTGTAAAGGAAGATTTCCATCACCAACCCTTCTCTGACAGTCCTGTTTTCTGGATTGATATCAGACAGGTGACTGAACCTATGTGACCCTCCTGTTGAATGAATACAGGTGAGCCTTGAATAATGCAGTGGTTAAGGGCAGTGATGCCTGTGATGTCCAAAAATCTGCGTATAACTTTTGATTCCCCCAAAACTTAACTACAGTTGTCCCTAGGTAATCCATAAGGGATTGGTTCCAAGAAATGACCTGAGGATCCCCCCTCCCTTGCCAAACACTGCCAGATGGATGGATACCAAAATATGCAGATACTCAAGTCCCTTACATAAAATGGCATAGAAAAATGCATATAGTTGTCCCTCTGTGTCCATGGGTTCCCAACCACTGATGAAAAATACGTTTTTCAATTCATGGTTGAATTTCAAGTTGCAATACCAGGTATTTATTGAAAAAAATTTGCCTATAAGTAGACCTGAACAGGTCAAACCTGCTTAAGGGTCAACTACAATATATATTGAATGAGTTTTAAAGACATCTCTCCAGAGGCTTTAGATACTCCCTTGAAATTATATATATATATTTGTCT